AAATAAATAAAGCTAGTATCATTTTATAGTTTTTTAAAACATGGCACACTTTGTGCATAGTTTTCAAATTATGAATCATTTCTCAAAGTTTACTTTAGGAACAATGACGCTGGGAGAACATGGAAAATACTAATTTGACTTTGCATATACATCACCTGTTTTCCTGTCACTTTAATATTCTAGATGTTCCCTTGACCTTTATTTAGGTGTTTGATCTATGCCTGAAGTTGTTTACCTATCTGAAGTCATTAAATTGCCCTGATACTATCATGTCCCCATCAGCAACATAACTAAAGAGTCTGACCATGCTTAACAAGCAGAAACAGAATACACTGCTCACCAGTCATCTTCCTTCCATTTAAAGTCAGAGGGGAATATTCCCACACGATGCCACAAAACCTGATGTTATGTGCCTGCTTCCAAAGTTTTGGCAGAGAAAGTAGACTCCCTACTAGGCAGTATTATTCCCATTTTACCAAAGAGTAAATGGATTCAGAAAGATGAATCCTTCACAGCTCTCAGCTCATTAGGAGGTACTATGAGAAATCAAGCCCAAGATGCCCAACTACAAAGCCCACATTTCTTCCTCTGTTTCAGACTGTGTTCCACAGAAAAGCTCACTGTGGCAAGGTGCCCAAAGCCTTGGAAAGTCAACCTTAACCTCCTCTTACATCCCCAGTCTGAGAAGACTCCACAAAGACAGGATTCTTAGAACCTGATGTCAACCAATCCAAAAGATCCAGTTCAATCCTAATTGGCTGGCTACACAAGTAGTTTCTAGGGTTTCTATAGTAGCAATTTTTAAGTGAGAATTACAGAATCACAAAACATTAAGCAGTGGAAAGGACCTAAAAATCATCTGTAGTCGCATTTCCTGGTTTTACTGGAAGATGGAGGCCCAGACAAGTCAAATGAACTGCCCAGATTTAGAAAGATGACTGGTGCACGAACGCAGACCAGAACCCAAATTTCTACACCCACGATCTACTGCCTATGCGCTGTGCTTCCTGCAGTCCCACAGTATTCATCACTCTGTTACAATGAAGTATATGATTTCCTCTGGTTTTCTATTCCTACATACTCTATCAACCCAGAACTGTTTTTAAAAAAAATTGTTTACCCAAATGTCTACTATGGACTAGACACTGTGCTAAGGGTTAAAGCTAGAAAACAGAAAAGACACAGTCATCTTCCTTGGGACACTTCCATGCAAGTCCACAGACACAAAACCACAACCATTACAACATGGCAAATGTCAGGACAGAGTCAGATACAAGCAATTCTACAGCTTTGAGCAGAGCTATGGTCCAGCACCTAATAAATTATTTTCCTTACCTTGTTTGCTGGGCAATGCTGGTATTGCTTAATGCCTTCAATTGCAGCTACTCATATAGGTTACAGTCTTCTCAGGTACCCAGAAGCCAGTCCAGGAAGGAGCACAGAGCAGTACGGAGCTGTATATTGATCATTAATCAATGATCGATTAATTGATAATTAGCAGCATCTAAACACACGCTATAATAATTTTCCTTCTGATTGGGGGCTTTTCAAATCCATCCACCATGTTCTAAGAGGTAAGAGAGAAAGAGCAGTCTCTCCCACCCCATGGTCACAACAGATCATAATATGGGCCTTTAAGATCCTAAACATCTACCCTTCTTTAGGCAGCAACTGCTTCCTATGGACCAGATGCTGAAGGCATCGTGCAACTCATTACATTCCACCACCCGAAAGGATCAGAAAACAATGGTGAGGAGGAAGGCAGTGGTTTGAGGCAAGCCCACAGTTGGAACTTCATCCAGCCACTTATCAGCCATATAAATTTAAGGTGAACAAGTTTTAATTTCATCTATAAAATAAGGATAACTATATCCTCCTCACAGGATCTCAGTCAATTAATGATCAATATGCAGCTGGGATCATACCTGACACCAAAAAGGCTCTCAACTGTTTATTCTCTTCCCCTTCCCTATCCTTTCTTAGCCTAGTACATTTTTTCAGAACTATAAAGGAAAACAATCAATTGTTGACCTTCTGTTCAATAACATGCATTGAAGCCAAAAATAAACTTTATACAAGTTTCTGGAAAAAGCTTTACAATAAACTCTTTGATATTGCTTGAGTCTGTATCCCCAACCAAATCTCATGTCGAATTGTAATCCCCAATGTTGGAGGAGGAGCCTGGTGGGAGGTGATTGGATCATGGGGGTGGACCCTTCATGAATGGGTTAGCGCCATTCTCCAGGTGCTGTTCTGGTGATAGTGAGTAAGTTACCCTGAGATCTGGTTGTTTGAAAGTATATAGCACCCCCTTGCTCCTGTTCCTGCCATGTAAGACGTGCATTGCTTTCCCTTCACCTTCCACCAGGATTGTAAGTTTCCTGAGGCCTCACCAGAAGCAGAAGCTGCCATGTTTCCTGTACAGTCTGCAGAACCATGAGCCAATGAAACCTCTTTTCCGTATAAAGTACTCACTCAGGTATTTCTTTATAGCAGTGCAAGAACTAATACATACTTCTTATAAAATAATGTTTAAGTTCTTTAATTGGACAAATGCTAAATATTAATATTCATTTCATGACTTCATATTAAGAGGAAAAACGAGCTGTTTGAGGAACTCTACAGTGGATAGCTCTGACCCAAGAGGCAAAATAAACGTTTTAAGAAAAGCATTCTTAAGAAACATGAGTTGCGAATTCTCAGCAGCTGAGGGGCCTAAATGGTTAAAAGTGGTTAAAATGGAAATCATTCAGAAAGACAACCACTGAGCAACTGGCAAATGGTAAGAGGGTGAAATGGCTCTGGGGGATGGAGGGGCACTGGGCCATCTGAACTATCTTGTCAGCTTTATTTCTTCTTAAAGCGAAAAAATAACCAAAAAACGTGAAGGGAATGGTGAGGAAAGAAAAGGAAATGACTAAGGGATAAAGAAGAGACAGAGGAAGAGGAAAAGAGAAGAAAGTGGCCAAATAAGAGATACTCAAAACACGCAATGCCCTGCTTAGCTCCCGAGTTCCCCAGAGCTGTGTCCTCTCCCCCTTCTACTTGAAGATGTGTCCCACTGTAGAACCAAAGACCAATCATCTCTCTCTTAGCCAAAATGATACATAATATGCAATTTTAATAAATATTTATTAATAAATAAGTATAATCCACAAGAACAAATTTTAAAATTCCAAGACCTCAAAACAGCAGCCCCCCTGGCTCAGCACAGATCTGTCTTACCCCTGAATTCTATCTGACTGGGTTTCTGCCCTGCTATCCTCCTCATTTTCCTGGGCTGAGTCTCTGCCTCTCCATTACTAGTCTCCCTGCCCTGTGTCCCCAGAACTCCAGGTCTGGGAGCCACCTTGTGCCCAGTGTCCTGCATTGACTGACTCCTGCCTCTGAAACGCAGCCTGTGGAGGCCTGGACTCTGACCCAGTGCCAGACCTGTGCTGCCAGTCTGCCCAAAACACTTCCAAATGCCCGCCCCACCTCTGTGGGAGGCACACAGGAACTTAGGGCTTGCTTTAAAACTTTGGGTAATGGCACTGACACCCCAGCTTCTCTCTTCCCAGGTCACGCCATCCCAGGGCTGAATCCCAAGGCAACCTTCCCCACCTGGATTCCCAGTCCCCAAGAGACAGGCCAGGTCTAACCTGCCAACCTCCCAAGGGAACATGAACTAGAGAAAAGGGGGAAGGATAAAATGACAGAAACACATACATGAGGAGGAAGAGGGGACGTGGGAAAAGCAATGAGAAAAACAGAAGAAAAAGAAGAAAGGGCTGTGAACAAGAAGAAAGCAGGAGATGGGACAGAGAACGAGGGCTACCCTATTACATGAGTGATTAGAGAAGGCTGCTCTGAAGAGGCGGCATTCGAACAAAGACCCAGAGGAAGGAAGCGGGTGAGCCGCGCAGGGAGTGGAAGCTTCCAGGCCAGGAAATCGGCAAATATCAAGGTCCTAAAGTTAGACAGAATTCCAAGTGCAAGCTACTATTCACAATTACTAGCTTGACAGATTCCCCAGAAAACAAATCTACTTGAACTTTTCTTCCTATTCTACTATTCACCCCGGTTATGAGCATGTGAGCCACTTGATTACACTGTACTCTGAATTATGATTAGCTGACTAACCATTCCTCAAACCTCCTTCATGCATTTGTTCTTGATGATAATCTGGCTCCAAACAGGCCTGAACCCTCTGCCTGCCAGAAGAAAACTCTCCTGTAGGTTACAAGAGCACAAAGTTACTCAAGACGTTCCCACGTTCACATGCAATCAGGAAAGGAAAAGATTTCACCTTTGGGTACAGGTTCACAACTCCACTAAAAGAAGTATTCGGTCGGGTGCGGTGCTCACGCCTGTAATCCCAGCACTTTAGGAGGCCGAGGCAGGCGGATCACGAGGTCAGATCAAGACCACCGTGAAACCCCGTCTAAAAAATACAAAAAATTAGTGGGGCGCAGTAGCGGGTGCCTGTAGTCCCAGCTACTCAGGAGGCGGAAGCAGAAGAATGGCGTGAACCTAGAGGGCGGGGCTTGCAGTGAGCTAAGATCGCGCCCCTGCACTCCGGAATGGGCGACAGAGCGAGACTCCATCTCAAAAAAAAACCTAAATGAATAAAAAATAAAAACCAAGAAGTATTCAACAGAAGCCACAGTGTAGTAAAAACAGAAAATAATTTATTGTCAAGAGTCCCTTGAGTCTTCCAGGCAGCCCCCGAGGATTGGGTGGGGTTGCCTAAACAAGGCCACGGCAGCGGCTGGAGGAGCACTCAGGCGCTTTGAGAGTTGTATCACATTCCTTTTTGTTTTTTTAACCATATCTATAAACAAATGTATTCTAAAATTATTAAATAAAATTACAACCAATCTTAGCCAATAAGAGTAGCAATTCTGTTTCCTTTCCCCCTAAAGGGCAAAAACAAAATACACGAATACACAAGAACCCCAGGGAACAACTTAACTAGCTGGAGTGCCAACCCGCCGCTGCCTTGGGAAGCGTGAACACACTGGCATCTGAAGAACTCTGAAAATAGACTCGGGCACATGAACCGCGAGAGCAACTGTACGGTCAGCATCTGACCCAGCTCCTTCTCCCACGCTCCAAGTGTCTATTTTCCCATTCCTGTCTGCACCTCGCTGGTAGACCAGCTCTGCAGTGAAGGCGCGTGGATTGAAAGACTGGAAACGAGAGACAAGCTAAGGGGAAGCTTCTAAGTGCGAGCTTGAAATTTGCTTGAGAACGCAGCACTCCGCTCTGAGGGTACAGATGCTCATCCTTTCAATAAATCCAAGGCTCTAGTATATAACCACCTGAACTTACAGTAGATCAACTCGATTTCCTCTCCTTATACAGGGATTTTAAGCAGTGAATTCCCCTGCCATGTAAGTGTTTAAGAATTAACAAAAATCATTTCAAAAGAAATGAAAGAACAGCTCTGATTTAGGAGGATGTGCCCGTCTGACTGGCCTGGCTGGTGAAGCACACCGATCAGCTGACCATGAGTATCATCACAGCTGCCAAAAGCCAGGCCACCTTGCCACCAGGGCTATGGGGTTCTTTTTCCTCCAATCCCACATATTTCTCTAAAGGTTACAGTCACCTTTAGAGTCCAGTGTTGAGAGGTCCTATTCCCACCAAGCTCAAGCCAATATATCCACTAAAGGTACATTCCTGACCTTCACTGTTATTGACATTCCAGGGATTGGCAAACACAGCCTGTGTGCCAAATAAAATTTTATTGGACGACAGCCACACTCATTCATTTATGTCGTGTCTACATGCTGCCTACTACAGCAGAGTCGAGCAGCTGCCGCAGAGACCATATAGCTCACAAAGCCTAAAATATTTACTATCTGGCCCTTTATAGAACAGGTTTGTGGGTGCTTGATTTATATAAATTCACTGAACATCTACTATGTGCCAAGTGTGGTTTGGCCACTGTGCAGATAGCAGTGACCAGAACGAAGTTCCTTTCTTCAGGTGGTGATAAGGGCTGTGAAGAAGAAAGCAGGAGATGCGACAGAGAACGAGGGTTAGTCTATCATATTAGTGACCAGAGAAGACCACTCTGAAGAGAGGGGCATTTGAACAAAGACCCAAAGGAAGGCAGGCATGAGCTGCACAGGGAGTGGAAGCTTCCAGGCCAAGGAAATGGCAAGTATCAAGACCCTGAAGTCAAAGTGTGCATTCAGTGTGTTTGAGAAAAAGCAAGCAAGGTGGGTGAGCAATGTCCCCTTTCTCCATGGTCACAATCTAGCAGCCCTCTCCCACACAGACCAGGCACCATCTTAAGTGTTTTCAGAATATTATCGCATTTGATCTTTAAAACAACCCTCTGATGTGGTATTATTATCACCCCCATTTCAAAGATAAGGAAACTGAGGTTTTCGAAGCTTACTTTAACTTGCCCAAGGTATCAGAGACCCACACTTAGCTGTCAAACACAGGCTGTTCCCAAACTGTTTCCCATTCCATATTCCCGCAGGCAGCACCAGCACTGTCACCCAGCCACAGACCAACAGCTTGAGCAACGACTGTACCTGATCCAAGTTGCACAGGTGGAAGAGGCTCCACTGGGCCTGCTTCCTTTTCCACTCTGCTTTTTTGAATCATGTTCTCACTGAATTTCTCTACTTCCTCCAACTCCACATTTATGAAAGCCTCCTAAGATCACCTCCAAAACAAACAGCCCAGCTATGGAAGATTGATGGATGGGAGAGAAGAAAGGAGAAACAGAACGAATATTTGCAGGCCTTCTGTGAGCCAGGCACAGATGTAAAAAGCACTCCGTGGACCTTCTTTCTGGGAGATGACAGTTAATGAGAATATTAAGGTAGAAAAATACAGCATTTTCCATGTGGACCTGTGCATTCCACAAGCAGGAAATGCTTGAGGAGCCTCCACAGCAAACATAATTTAAATTGAAGAGACAGCACGTTTTCACTGTGTTCCTCAAGATCAATCATCAGCCAGTGTTCTGAGCCAAGACATACAGCAACTTCCTAATCTTTCCTGCCTCACAACATGTTCTCTGCTGCCTTCCACCAGCCTCCTCTGTCTCTTTTAAGAGTTTACATCAGCCTCTAATGCTTTCCTCAAGTGAAGAGATGGCCTTTCGACTTTATTTAGGGCACAACTGAGGAGTCCTCCAGCAGCCACCCACCCACATCCACACTCAGTTCCTCCCACAGGCCTAGCAGCCCTCAGGCAGTTATGCCTCTTGGTGACTTCTCACTACCTCCCAACATTCCCCAGACAAGGATATGGATTAATTCCCCAGTACAGCCCTAAACATAATACCACTAAGAAACCTAAAAATCCTTCACGACAAACTTCAACAGCAGCATGTCTTGGAGAGGAAGTATTCCTCAATAAATGTCACCTACAAAAAGCAGGAAAAAAAAAAAAAAAAAAAAAACAAGAGTGATGGAAAATAACATCCTGCTTGGCAGGAAAAAAAAATGTACAAAAACTGCTTAGCTGATTCTTCTGTTTTAGCATTTGCCGTGGGAAAACATAATCCCATTCTTCCTTAATAGGTCGCTGCCTGCTCTGAATCCCGGTGTCTCATGTGCGGCCCCCAACACTGAGCAAAAGGCTTGATATACTTAACACCTGGCATACGTGTCATAGGAATAAACATCTACTTACACTTGACGTTATTAGATGACAACTACCCCAGGGCGTTAAGAGATGTGCTGTTGAGGGGGAGTGAAGAGATGACTGAAATAAAGTCGAAATGCCTCTATATATGTGAAAAGAGAGGAGGGCTGGCTATTTCTAAGTATTCCTTGGAGCAGGGTCAAGAAGGATCCCAGTCGTTCTCTACCATCTATTTCTACCCCTTTGTGATTAAGGCAAACCAGTGCTACTCATCTCCTTTTCTTCTCCCGAGAATTCCTGCCCCAGGAAATACAGAGGTCAAGGAAACTAAGCAAGAAGGACTGCTGCCCCCACAGCCCGAGAAAGATGAGACTAAACAACTGGATGTCCTCTGAGGAAGGAAACATATCATAATTTTACACTTTATGTTACATAAATGATATTTCACTAAAAATGAGAACTATGTGCCATTTCCCCATTTTCACAATGAATGAGAATATAGGAAAAAGCAGGAAATTCTACTATAAAAAATTACTTTTGAAAACTTAGGAATGATTGTTACATAAATCACACAAATGCATTTAAGTGACGGCCCTTTTTGCTTGATAATAAAGCAGTCTTCATCACGGTAGCTAATTAGCAAAAAAAAACCCAAAAGATCTATAGGAAAATGGCAATGGCAATGCAGGTATCAATAATTTAAGACTTCAATAACTGCTCTGAAAGAGGGAAGTAATCGACCAAAAACCTTCTAAGGTTTCTTACAATTCAGTCTTACATAGTCACAATATCTCATAACAAAAATTTAAACAACAATGGTACTTAAGTTAGAAATAAAATGTCAAAGAAGAAGAAAGGGATTTATGAACAGACTAAAAGTATGGTGTGGTTCACAGTGCAAAAGGTCTGGCAGTAGCTGAGTATTCAGCACAATCAAGATCTGAGAAAGCAGACCTGCATCGGAGCATTTTCAACCGGGAGGAGGGCATCGTGACCATCTATGGCTGGCCTCCATTAAACATGTTTGGAACACAGTACCCATTCTGCACCTGCTCCTCCTATGTTCTCCTCCGCCGTACCTAGCATCTAACACATTGCACGTTGTACTTGTTGGCTTATTGTCTCCCTCCGCCGTTAGAACATAAGCTTCATGAAGGCAGGGTCTGTTTTGCTCCCTGATGAATCCCCAGAGGCTAGAAGAGGGGCCTGGCACATAGCAGGTATGAAAGCCAATAGGGCCAAGGCCAAGTAGACTCTTTTGTGCTCTCCACCTTCTGGGCAGACAATAATATTGTACTATCTGGGCCCTTGTGGTTGGACAGGGCCGGGTGACAAAATCTGACCAGTGAGTATAAGAAAAGGCAGGGTGTGTCCTGTCCAGGCTAAAGCACTAAATTGTGGGTGTGAGATTCTCCAGAACACTCTTACCTAGCTCTGCTTCAGTGACTGCTTGCTCCAAATGGGGGCTGCTCTGTCTGTCTATCCCAGAGTGAGGACCCTGCCAGGTAGAGCCTCAGTCAACAAACAGTGGATATAAAGCATGAGTATACCCCTTTGTGCTTTATGTCACTGAGGGTCAAGGGTGGTCATCACCCTTCCCAACTGATAGGGTAGGCATTCAGTAAAAATCTGTGGTTGAATTTGTCAGCTCTCCTTGCAGAGGTCATACAGCGTAATGAGTTCTGAGGGGACCTATTTGCTCACAATGCACCCCATTCTAATTTAGAACAACTCACATGTCCTCCCTGGTACTAAGTCAAAAACTGTGTTCTTGAAGAATACAAATGGCAGGTCAGGGTACAGGCGGGACTTTTTGGTTTTTTCTTTCCTAATCAGCCTCACTCTCTTCTTTTCATATCTTCCTCAAGCGGTCCTAAGGAATTCTCTGATTGATCCAAGTCAAGAGAGTGACTTGGAAATTATGCTATAAGGAGTGATCAATATTAGCAAAAGAAAGGCTTGTCTTGTAGAGGTATCACTCAGAAACCTCTAATGAGCCTAAAGCTCCTTCCATAAAAGCACAGGACCTCAAAGGATGAAGCAGCCTCTTCAGTATGTACCCTAGACACAGAAAGAATCCAGAAGTAGAAGACAGAAGGGATCAAAGTACACAGAGAGATACGAGGTCAAAGACGGACTCTCAGCTGCCCAGGCACGGTGATCTTATAATAGGCAGACAAATTCCTTTGTACTCCTCTTTTCAAGAGGTAGTACCCTCCCCTTGAGTGCAGGCTCTACTTAGTGGCTTACTTTTGAAAAACAAAACATACCATAAATACTGGTGTGTAATTTCTGAGGCTCGACTGTAAGAGGTATTGTGGCTTCCTCTTTGTATTTTCTTTTATTGATAAGGACAACACAAGGACACTCAGCAGCCCAATGGACAGGTCCACATGGTGAGGAACTGAGGCTTCCTGACAACAGCCCGCACCAATGTGCCAGCAATATAAAGGAACTGTCTTGGAAGTGGATCCTCCAGCCCCAGTCAAACCATCAGAGGACTGCAGTCCTGGCTGCACCTTCCTGAATTACCCAGAGCCACCCAACCAGCTAAGCTACTCCTGACTTCCTAACTCAAAAAACTGGGATAAAACTTTTTTTAAGCTACTCAATGTGGGGGATAATTTCTTACACAGGAAAAGGTAACTGCTATATTAAGTGTCCTCTAGCCGGAGTATGTGCATGTGTTATACAAATGATGTGTTCATAGTGACTTTACAGAATGTACTATACACCAGCCCACATGACTCGTATATAACTGAGGGGATGCAAACATGTTCAACCAAGTATAGCATTCTCTAGTTCCTAACCCTAGGTTTTCCTATGCATCATATGTAAGTGTACGAGAGTAGTACCCTTCATTGCTGCCTTGATCTTTTGAAAACAGCCTTCCATCTATCACCTGTGAAAAACAGTTTCATCTCTCTCTAGGCTTCACATTTCATGTCTCAAACTCTTGAAGAACTGCAAAAGAGCAAAGAAAAGAATAGACCACTGTTAACAGTACCTGAATGCAGGACTGCAGAAAAACTACTTTAATCCTTATGTCCTCATGCTCTACCTTTGCCTAAAAAAAAAGACTTAAAGAACTTAGTAAAATAGCCCTAGTAGGAATCACTTTCCGTGACACTGACCCATTGCCATCTTCAGCAGCTGAATCATTGTTGCTACCTTTCTTCCCTGCCCAAGAACTTGCATTTCATTCTCTAAGTAATTTGCTATTTTATTAAATAGTAATTCAGTGACTGACCCAGAGCCAACCTACAGCTCCAGTTGTGTGTGTGTGTCAGCAGGCTAAGAGGCATATATAAGGCAAGGCATACACATACAAGCACCAAAACAAAAAAAACAAAAAAAAAATCCCTCACTACATGGTTGCCAAAGTATTCTCCATCTCCTAGCATTCTGCATCTTTTGCCTCTTTCTTAGTTGGAGTGTAAGTGGTAGCAGGGAGATGATCATTAAGCAGCCAAGGTTTGGTTTAACTTCTGTAACAATGTTTATGAATAAGGATGGAAAGGAAGGATCAATGGTATGCGGGTAATGGTATGCGGGTAAAGTTAACAAGATGGTGCTAGGGTCTGCCATGGAGGCCGCTTTGAAACAGGATATCTGAAAACAAGTGATAGAAATGGGAAAGATAACTTCTCCAGATCCCCCAAATCCCACAGCTATTTGCTCTAAGATTAAATGTTCCATATCACCCTATCTTATAGCAATAATGGAAACCTAACATCAGAAGCATGAAACAATAAAGGTCTTCATAGATTCCTTCTGCTTAAAAAGAAAGGCAGTGTGTCACCTGTGAAAGAAATGGTTTCCAATTCCATTTCAAAAGCATTTCTTGAGTAATTGCTCTGTGTTATGACATTACACTATGAATGGGGGTGGGGGTACAGTGATAAACATAGCTCCTACAGTCAAGAATCTCTCAACCTAACAAGTAACTTTTAACCTTTAAGAGTCGCAGATCCCTTTGTAAATCCTATGCTTCTCTCCAAATAAACATA